TAGACGCTAGTTAAAGCGTGCCCAGCCCAAGTCTACACCGTCTAGTTCCGCTCAGTGTCAATATCGGCCTACATTCGATCGGCCTTGAATCATTAGCGGCACGCAGCCCGCCGTATCGGTCGCGCAGCATCGCGAGATATCGATCTAGATCCCCGTGGAATAAGGGGGGAGAGCAGGGTATTCCCCCCCCCCCCCTCCCCAGTCAAAGCTCCGCCGCCAAGCGTTCCCGCGTCGAGGATTGCGCAAGCGCGGGGCATAGTTTCACGTCACCCGCCATACGTTCGCGTTGGGCGTAATTAGATTAATACGCCCGCGAAATTAGATTAAGAAATGTTGGGGAGAGGCGTGGGTTACAACTTTTTCGTGAGAACGCCAGAAGGGTTAATTAAGCCGCGGAGTTGTCACGTATACTGAAAGAGATACGGGGGAACTCTAAGACCACTATGGTATGTTAATTTTGCACCCTTCTGGGTCAAACACGCGAAAGTGTTCACTGCTGTGGAGGTAGAGTTGAAGTAGGAAGGGTAATGTGGAGTAACGAACCTTATCGGTGATGCAGTATATGCACGCGATATAATGTAGGCTGGTCAGATGGTAATTATAGTGCACTGTCGGTTATGGAGGATACTCCATCGATAACGTGGAACCCTTGGTCTTCCGCTAGTAACGTAGAACACTCTGTTGGTAGGTTCCACGACCCCTTGAAGATACTACCACTAGAAAGACCACGATAACGAACGTGTCAACATCTTTGGCTCAATATGCAAATGTTTTCCTGAACAATTTGACGCAATCACGGAGAGTGAAGATTGTTATAACCCGCAGGCTGGGTATGTGGGGTCACGAACGGTGTTTCGAAGCTTTGAATGAACCCAATCCATATCTGACCCAGTTCTCCAGAACGAGTATCGTTCTTGAAATACGGCGAAGGTCGAAACCTTTCGTAAACCTTGACAACAAATAACAATAGAAACACCGTTGAAAAAAAAAAATGCTCGTCTATATCTAACCCGATTATGCGAAATTGATATCGTTCCTCGTGAAATATGAAGTGGGTGGAAATGTTTAGAAAGATCGTGGCTGGTAATGGTAGCAACAATGGTCAGAAAATAGTTGGAACGGATAGAAGATAGAGATAGGGATCGTTTCTTTGAAATACGATTAAAGATTCGGAGGTAGACTCCGTGGCGGAGGATCGTGGCGTTCTCGATAGCCTGTACGATACTTATCAGACTCGATGACGATATATAGCACAGCGGACGCCTACGAGCGGACAAACGGTGTCGCAAACTCGGAAACACGGCATCTAATCGTAATGTTTTATTGTTACACGGCTTTCTACGCGTGGCCAGGAATTAGCTCGCGAACTTCGGCTATCTCGGAACGGGATTCCGTGTATTTTTGGAGGTCGATCGATTGGAAACCACGGAATCATATAAACGGTTAGTTCCAGTACATTTACCAGAGAAAAGTTTTATTAAAGCAAGTAACGAGGCAGGTACTGCGTTTATCGATCGAAACTCAGTTTTGTTATTTTATTTATTTGTATTCAAACTTCCATTTACAGAATTATCTTATAAATTATGCTTGCATTCTCGGTGATGCTTCTATTGTCTTTTAAAAGGGTTCCTAGCTTCATTGGCCGAAAGTGACTTTGGTATTATTTAAAAATTTCATTTGGATAGGACAAGAATATACACAGATATTTAATAATATTAAAATAATATCGTTGATTCCACGCTTGAAATATTCCTATAGATGAAGATTCAGATCCATCTCGCAGCTCTGGAGATCTCGAAGAGCAGCTATCGACGCCGTTCGATCCGAGCGACATATGCACGAACGACGCCGCGCGGAGCTCGCCGCCCACGAATAGACGAACGTGTGTCGCAACGACAGTCGACATCTCCGTCTCTCCTTCGCTAGAGAACACGGTCTCTCCGTCTCTCCCTCGTTGTAAGAACACGGTCTCTCGTTCGCTCAGCGGCGGCGGCTGATTTATCGACATGCCCTCGAATTATATGCTGCGGCTTCGGGCAGCTTTCACCGTGGCTCCGCGTGCACGGCTACCACGACGCCGACGTCTCTCCCTGCCGATCCTTTTGTTTCGTTCGAGCCAATTTCGACACCGCGCGATTGTCCTTGCGTCCGCGACAGCGTAATCGCGTCGCGTATCGATACGCGCTGCGACAATCCGAGAGGCCCCTGACCTGGGCCCCGTTGCGTACCTTTTATCGCGACCAGAGCGCCGCGGTGCCCGAGAATGCGCCTCGTCTGCAAAAATCGACAGAGGGTGGGACACTGGGTGAGCGATGAGACGTTCGATTCTGTCGCATCGCCCATTGGACGTGGACTCGAGGATAGAAGAAGCTGACCGTGGGTTGGAATGGGAGAATCTTAGGAATTTGAGGGAAGATTCATAGTTGATTGGAAACGGGACGAGAGCATTGAAATTCGCGTAATTAAGGTAGTCGGTACTCTATGACGATCTTCCATACGATTCGCGTTCAATTATCCCCAAGAGTTTGAGGCTCGTGCTTAACCTCTCGTGTAATCGGTGACTTATCAACGACCTACTTCTGTGCCGAACGGAAGACACGATGCGCGCTGCTAAATGGCCATCTCTGCCTCGTCAATACAATGCAACGAGGCACGCATTGGAGGTAACGGTTATCCAGGATCTATCGAAGCTCCATAAAGGGCGATGTTTAGGTAGCCAACCATGCAATGGTGTGTGGTACGAGTGTCCCGTAATTTCTGCACATCTAGCTTCTTACTGGGACCTTAAAGAACATGTTCACTTTTAGCTTAGCAACACATCCCTCCAACTATGTACTTTCCAGATCGACATCTTTTATGCGAAGGCTTGGAACAATCCTCGAACTGTCCGTAAACCTCATCTTGTTCCGTAACCAGGTGGTCTCGTTGGCTCTTCTCAAGCTTCCCGAAAGATACGAGAAATTGTGCTCGAGGCGATGCATCGGTCGCCTCCGTCCCCGTGTAGAGAGATGTCTCCGCTGAACCTTGAAACAGGATTCCTCCCAGCGATTCGAAACGGTCGTGGCCGGCGTGTATCGGATACAATGCGATCCGTCTGTTCCCGTATCGCGTAATCGCCTTATCACGGGAACACGCACGCCGCGCGAAAGGAACGTAACGGTTTTCTGCGTTCGATCAAAGCACCGTTCCAAACGGAAAAATTCCAATACGAATTTGCATCGAGAGGCGGCGGCGAGACCGCTAGAATCCGCCGTGAAAGCTTATGTGTGTAGCGGCGGGATTCAACCTCGCACCTCGCACGGTAAAAGGGGGGTTGCGACCGTGTAGGAGAATGCAGGACAGAGGAGTGTGTCGAATAACTTCCTAGAGGCGCGCCTGTCACGACGCCCCGGGTCATTGGTCACCCCCGTCCTTATCTACGACCGGCTGTGGGGGCCATCTCGAAGGCCCCTTTCAGACGGCTCGATTTTCACCGCGCGATTTCATTATCCCCCCGATATCCGACGTAAGGCCCATCTGAATGGGCCTTTCACACGGCCAAGCGATAAATTGCTTTAGGGAGATCGTTAGAACGGCTGAGGAGGGGGGCGTTGATCCAACGCGCTTCCGCGTGAGTCCCCCAAACATGAGACTGACGATGATTCACCTGGCAGTGACTAATCGTGCGTTTTTTTTTTTTTCGTAGAATTGTTTCTTCATTCGGTGGAATGTTTGGAATTGGGGACACTGGAATCGAGGTGGAATTTTTGTATAGTCATCCTGAATCCTAAGTGTAATCGTGACGAGTGTAACGTAACTCTGAGAATAGTTCGTTTTTGTTCGTGTAAGTGGGGGAATGAGGTTTAATGTCAGCTTGGAGGCGAGGTGATCTTATATCCAGTCATTGATTTCATCTTGGTGGACCTAGGACGATGGTAGAGTAGCTGGTCAATCAGAGTGATGTTTGGACCTGGTGAAGGCAAGATGGCTTTCCACTGATCGTTACGCTGATGCTTGGGACCAGGAATCTAGAACAGTGCAACTACCTTGAGATACCGCGACTTCCAAAATCCAAGTGTTCGTATTCTTTTGATACACAGTGTACCTCCACCAAACACTTTCTCGTGCAATCCAAGTTTCCTAGAACTCACGCCATTTGGCCAATCGTCGCTGTATTTCACTCCGCTCCAAAGGAAAGCGATAATTGCCGTACGTTTCAATCGCCGCGGAGCGACCACGATTTATGTAATCGCGTCCACGATATTCGATACGTCGAAACGGCGGGCAGGTAACACGGAAGCGTCGTCCAGGTTCACTTCTGGAGCACGCCCGTTCCCAAGCGTTCGCCATGGTACCGCGGAATTTCCGTGCCGATCGGCATAACCGTGAAGCAATTCGTCCAGGGGAATCGTTTAATGCGGGCCGCAACGATGGCTCGACGGCCGAGTCACGATCGGTTACTTTCCTCCATCACAGATACAACGCTTTGGAGAAATCCGAAACAATCGACGGCACCGCCCATTTACGTACACTCGGGCATGGTGTACGCTCGTTAGGTAACCAGGCTTCGAGATACCCGTTGTAGATCGTCCGCTTTAATCGTCGGTTACGCTGATGATGATGCGAACGCCACGAGGAAGTAACGGGAAACGGGCCCTCCATCGACTCGAGCAAATTTCACGCGTTCCTCTGATCTCGAATACAAATTTGAAAAATTTAGAGGAACCCCTTTCCCTGTAACAATCACCTCTCAAAACTTGGTAGGAGTCTAATCGAAAAATAGAGAGACTGGAACTCACGATCCTCGGATTCACAGTCGACTGCTTTTCCTAGAATTCGTTAAATTTATATATTTCATAAACAACAAGTTCAGTAGTCTCGAGACAAAGTTTGAATTCTGTTGAAATGTTGACGAGTTTTAGTGCAGTATCCTGGTAGCTAACGAGTGATCGAACGTGTTAAAGTTTAAAGTAAAGGATGCACCATCTTCCCAGCTAACCTCTTCGTCGTTCAATTTCCAGATGGAGCATAGAGGCGTGGCGGCCGAGCAGCAGGAGCATCAGTAGCGATCAGCGATCGTCGGGGCCCTGAGTGGGCTCCTGATCACTCGACGGGGACGTCGGCACCGGGGTCCGTGCTCGCGAGGGTGGGCGGCGTTGTAGCGCCGCGATGGCCGCGACCGACGGTCAGATCGTGGTTGCGGCGGCACGTTGGGCCGAGGAAGCGACGTACCTTCGCGAATTCGTCTCCAAGTACCGTCTCCCTGCGGTGATCAAGATCACGAAGGGCCAGTACGGAGGGCTGGGGGTTCCCACACTGCCCGCGCCTAGTTTGCAGAGCACGGCGCTGCTGGTGTCCGCGGGACGTCGACGGAAGATCGTCGCGCAGGCGGTGAAGATCAAAGAGGGTCGCAGGGTGGTGGGTGTGGGGCCCAGGCTGGCTATACCCGACTCTTACGCGGGTTATTTCGAGATCTTGAGCGAAGAAGGAAGAGCTGTGCGAGGGATGGAGTCTGTGAACGAGCTGTGTCGACGTTGCCCTGACGAGGGGGCTCTGGTCAGGGAGACTGTGCGAGGAATAGCTTGCAGAGTGGACGACGACTCGGGAATAGTGGTACCCGAGGGTACGAGGACCCTTGCAGCGGGGGAGACTATAGTGATGGCGGGGGAGGTGAGTCTCCCCGGTCGTGGTAGATTTCTGCGATGCGTCGACTGTCGGGGCGAGAGCGTGCTGCTCGCGATGGACCAGCGGGGTCGCTTCAGCGCTCTGGCGCGCGAGGACAACATAAGCGGCGTCCACACAGCTAGAGCGTTGTTGAGCAAGCGACTGCCATTAACTGTCAGACTGGTGCACGGCCAGCCGCCCAGGGGATTGAAGTCGTCGTCGCAGTTTGTCCCAGAACTGAGGCTGTTGTCCACGTTCGAAGAAGAGCACGTATTCGCCTTGCCTCTGCAGAGAGAGGGAGCGGCGGTGGCGTTGCCGCTTGCAGCTCCGCTGAAGCTAGTGAAGGCGAGAAACGAAGAGGCTCTCAGGTCCATGCAGGAGTTCACGAGGCTGGTGGAGCGCGCGTCCCGCCTCGTAGCCGACGTGGCGGATCGCGCACACGTTCTAGATGGTCGTTTAGGCGAGAGCAAACCCTCCAGGCAGACCAGAAGCGGCTCAGGCTTCCTCAGGCGGTCCTCAACGAACTCTGACAACGGACCTCTGAACCACCACAGGAACAACGCCAGCCACCATCATCATCACCATCATTATCATAGCAACGGGCATCAAGCGTCATCAGGTCACGCGGCATATCGAGACGAGAATCGTGTCCCTCCGTCAGCATGTACGGAAGAGTACGACGAGATAGATCAGATTTACGACTACGTCCGCGGATTTGCGCCTCTGCCTAAAAGCGTCAGGTCACCCTACGAAAGTCCTCTGCCAGGCACACAGGGCTCCAGTCCTCCGTTGACACCTGTCACAGTGACGATCGCGCCCTTGTTGGACGACAGACCGGAACCACCGCCCATAGAAACCATTCCCACGAAGAAGATTCAGGCGGAGAAGAGGACGAGGCGCGCCGTCAAAGAGGCCCCCCAGCCTAGAGTCGAAAAGCCGCCCCTGGCCAAACTCTACGTGAAGAACAGCGGCACTCAAAGAGGACGCCCTTTGATGAGGCAAAAGAGTGCGTCGCCGTTGAAGGAGACACCTCCTGGGTACAAGGGTGGATCTCCGCTTTTTAATATACGATACAAGAGCCTGACGAACCTTCAACAGGCCATGGAGCTGGATGGGACACTGGACTCCAGCCATTCTGGAGGCAGGACTTCGGGGGACTCCGGTGCTGGTGCTAAGCTGCCGGAAAAAAGGTACAGGTACACACATGCACTCGCGATATAGTGAACGTACACATTTATTGAAGTAATACGTAGTATTAATCCTTTGCACTCGGATGTCCTCTATGTGAGAAGATGTATCGTAAGTTTAACAAATTTTCAAAGTAAGACTATTTAATGTAATGCGATTCCTGTTCGCACATTTTGCAACGATATGGCGCAGAGTGCAAAGGGTTAAAGTAAGGTCGAAGATGATACGAAGCAGATAAGATCCTGAGGAGATGCGTTCTTCCATTGCCATTCGAGGCACCGATCACTGTGCAAGTCGGGTACCCAATCAATTGTGTTCCCGATTCGCAATGCCGGACCTCGAACGGTGTTAACACATCGCTAATTCTCGATGAAATTGTTCGTCGTCCACGCAGATCGCGGCGTCTGAGCAGACCTCGTTCGTTGACGAATTTAGTGTGGGAGCTACGCGGAGGAAGTGGCCTTGGCTGCACGAGACCGGAAACCCCGCCACCTGCCACAGCGGCACCGTTGCCACCGACTAAATGCGGACCACGTCTCGCTGTCACCGTAGTGGCACCTCGACGTGTCGGCACGCTCTACCTCTAACTCGTGAGTAACGCTTAGTGAGTAAATTTTAATTCAACATTCCCTCCAAACCTCACCCCCAAAACCTCTATTTCCTGACTCATGACATCTACCAAACGCAGTCTCCTACTCGCCTAATCGGTCTCCATCGCGGTCACGCCGAGTCAGCGGAGATCCCTGGTCGTAAACTTCAAGTTTCTTGCGCACGGTCTCGTAAACGGCGCGCAAAAGGGACGGGATTGCTAAAATCAGCGCTAACGCGATCACGCCGCACGGCTGTTATCCGGCGAGATTAATTTCCCTGCGGCTGGTTTATCGTCGCGAACGATACGTCGAACGTCAGGGACAGTCCTTAGCGCAATCAGCCAGGAAGGCGTACCGGTTATGGGGCAGTTAGAGCGTACTTTGTACGGGAATCATTAAATTGACAGGATCCAAGGCTCGTGGTCGATCCTTTAACGAAGCATTTTACTGGCCGTTGTAAAAGGCGGGCAGGTGTTTCCCTATTGCCTTTGAGTCCTTATTCGTTTAATCGCCGTTGCGCCGGCCTCTGATCGTCATAACCGCAGTCTAGGAAACGCACCTGTGCCATCCAGGAAGCGGTCGGTCTTATTGCGAATTATTGTTGGCTGGCTTCCGTGGCTCCTCGACCGCCGCGAATAGGGGAGGGACTCGCCTTTTCTCCTCTTCGTTTCAGCGAAACGTGAATTTTCGTAATTACACCGACGACTGCAGAAGCACGACGCAATGTCCGGTGCGTGTTTCGCGCTGCGGTCATTGCTAGACGGCTGGGTATAATTAACCACTATTGGATAGTCCACCTGCAGGTACAGGTGGACGCTGCAATGTTTCGTATTTTGTATCCTGATGGGCAGACGACTCTGTAGGGGGAGAGGGGGGGGGGGTTGAATGATCCAGGAGGATGCTGGAAGAGTGGAGTTTAAACGTCTTCATGGGACTCTTGTAACTTTGATCAAGTACATGTCTAATAAAAAGTAGAACAATTCCTATATCTCATCGACCAAACGACGATCCTATACTCACATCTTGAAGGTCCAAACATTCATAAGAAGAAACAGACAACTAATAAGAAGTAAGACTTTCTACATCGACAACTCCTCGTATCACCTCGATGATAAAGGACCGTCTAATCGATACTCCCAGCAGTGGAAATTAGCGAGGTCCGCGCAGGTTAATCAGCCACCGATTCCTCTCCAGTTCCGCTCAGTCGAAGGAGAAACCTGAGACGAGGAAACGGAGGGGCCCAGGAGATAATGAGAGAATCGGAAAACGAGAGAAAGACGGAACGGGAGATAACCTGAACGGGCGGGACAGCCCGAGGATACGTAACGTCATCCTCGCTCGGTGCAGCGTTATAATAGCCCTGGTTTGCCCCGGAGCCGCTCCGTGAGCGGAATTAAACGAGAGCAGGTTCAACGGCTGAACAAACCGTGGCTTCCGGTCACCGGTTCCCCTGCCCGCCCCCGCGCCCAAGAACTCGATCAGGTATTACGAAAATTACGATTACTCGGAGAAGAAACCTGACTTTTCGGCTCTGGGGCTTTTATGCAAGGATCAGGCGTCCTGGTAATCCCGTCTTCCTCCTGCTGATGTCATCTTCGGTCTGGAGATGCCACGGTAGTTTATGACGAGGAGTAAATTGGTCAGCTGAAGGGAAATTAGTGAGATTGGAAAAATAGACATGAGACTTGAGCTTGTTGTCTATATGATAAGACCTCGATTCGATTACCTTGTCCATTTCTATTTACTTTCACGGGCTCTACTTGTCCAACACCCATGAATCCCTATTAAATACCTTCGCAAGAACCTGAAATCTACCACACAAAGGTCTTTGTTGCTCCAAGAGTGGCAATCGGGGGAAGGCCGCCAAGTTTCTCCTACATCAGCAGTCGCCCGATCCCTTTTAATCAGTTGAACGCTCCCAGGACGAGCCACCCCTCGGTGAAGGATGCTCAAGGACACCGTTTCCTGCTTAATTAATTAACCACCGTCGTCCGCTGCGTAGCCGGTGTCTCCCCTCCATTTTGATCGAGGTCGACACCTGGTAATTTTCAACTGTCGCGTTCAGCGGTGGCAGGATGATGCGTGCGCATGCAGGTCCAACACGAGAAACCTGAGGCAAGCCACAACCAGTGGATCGACCATTGGTAATTTAGAATAAAACGATGAAGTCAGGTGCTCCAATGGGTTTTATAGAAGACTATGAAACTTGGAGAGCCAGTGGCGGTAGGGACTTGGGTCTACTAACTTTAGAGAAGTTGAAGTGAATCTTTAAGAGGTGGAAGGATAAGAAGATTAAACAACCGGGGGGCCTACGGGTCAAGGGGAGTAAGCCTTAGGAGGTCCAAGCGTCGAGATAACTAAGAGTTAAGTAACTATGAAAGTTAAACATTAAGGAAAGAAAATGTTAAGAGGACAAAACGCCAAGAGAATTAAACGTCCAGAAGGCTAAGCGCCAAGATACCCACTTTCCAAGACACCGAATTCTCTACTTCTAAGCAACCAATCATCTATCTTCAAATTCAAGTACCCCCGGCATCGGCGGTCACAAACAGGAGATGTCGCAACGCTCCCTTCGCAGCTGTTTTCACTCATATGCTCGAATTCATGCATATTTATCGCGTTACCTAGTGTGCATTGCATGCAAATTACGGAACGAGAGAGCTCCTCTGCTCGTTACCCGGTGGGCAACTCCGTCCCATTGTCTGCCTACATCTTTTCCGCGGATACCTAGAAGATGCCGTCGCGGCATAGTTCACCGTCTGTCTTCCCTCCTGAGTCACGCGACTTTTTCACCCATTTACGAGCACACCAGGATGCAGGAAGAAGAATCGAGGATAATAGGAAACGGAGACGACACGGAGAGACGGAGGAGGATGGGTAGGCCCTTCTTTTCAGGGAACGCTACCCACGATTTTAGACGAGATTTTTCGCGTTTGGAGACGTAGGTGCGCCTGTAGGTCTTTGGGACGACAGTACCGTTGGGATGGGTACGAGGACTTGGTTAGTTAATTGTTCTTGGGCTTTGCGTCGACAACAATCGGGCCATCCGATGCAACAATGTGTTATTTAATGGAGAATTCATTTCAAGGAAGGCAAGAGAATATAAAGATAAGCCTAAGAAAGCGAAGAAGAATATTCGCAGTGTTTCAACGTTAAAAAAACGACCAGAAGAACATATAAAATTTGAAATGAAGTTCTGTTTTTCTAGAATCATCAATTCTCGTGGAAGTATCACGCCCAAGTGTTTATTTTTGTAGTAATGGCAGCAATAACAACCCATATTCCGCTATTACTCTCATCACCAGAACACTGGTAATTGACTGCAACGAGAAGAGATGGCTCTTTAATTCTTGTTATTAGAGAAAAATCCGTCTCGATCGGTCGTTGATTTCGATTTCCTCGTTGAGTATTTAATGAAAACGTAGAAATTGTAAGTTTGGTAGGCGATAATTAACCGGGAGGCATGGCTCCGTGTGCGCGGTGCGTTAACAGGTCCGGTTTGAAGTCGCGTGTTTGCTCCTTTTTGGTACAGGCTTCTTCTTCGCTAACCGCCAACAGGAAGTAATTCCTGCATGTCTTTCCTTCTTTCTGCTCCGTTCGTCAGGTCGCCGTGTGCAAACATAAAATCGAGACAAATACGTTGATTTTAATAGTTCACACAAATAGTTAAAATAAATTACTCGAAGTCGAAGTAAAGAATTTTAACCAATTTCAATAACGAAATAAATTATTCTAAACCAGAATGAATCAAACTTGCCCTAGAGCCTGTACCCTAGCTGCAAGTGAAAAAGGGCGTTGCGCAATTGCGATTCCAGGTTTCGTTCGCGTTCCAAGTCGAATGCAAATCGTTTGCCCGATGGGTACACGTATCGGCCTTCACGCCCACGCGTCTCCCCCTTCTCGGGATGTAAATACCCGCGACTCTCCGCGAGGACACGCCTCGACCCTGTTGCTCGCGATTTATAATCAGTTTACGACGGTAGTCGGTAACGGGCGCCGGAAAAATGGAAAAAGACAAGGCGAGTGGAAACCGTCAGTGCCTGGTCAGACACGGGTTAACGACGACGGGCTCTCTCGACGCTCGCTCGAAGGAAAAAAGAACGGTTGTGAAGTGGAACCTGTAGACGATACCGGAGAACAGATACGGGTTCCCTTTACTTTTCGATATTACAGCGCGCTGATAATAATTTCGCCTCGATAAACATGCCGATAAGCAAATCGGTTGTAACGGTAACGCTCGACTCTTTTAACCACTCGACTTAAGCTTATTCTCATCGTTTCCACGGAAAATTAAGCCGTTTGTCAAGATAGGTGTTATCTTGGGAAAGTTTAAAAATTAGTCGTGAAAACGAGTATGCTGTACAGTGTGATGAACTGTTTTTATTCCCACTTTGATGAACCGTTAACTGTCTGTGCTCTCTCAATAAGTGAAACAAGTGAATTGCTTAAGGGAGCTTATTAATTAAATTCGAATTCAAATTAAATTTAATTAAAGTTCTTCTAATAACCAAAGATACAAACTCCAAAAATATTTCGAAAAAACATTAGAATTTCATTCTGGAGGTTCACGCTATCCGAATCGATAATTTGATCTCAAAGGGAGGTAACGTCGAAGGTGGATGTTCGCGAGGTCAAACGCATTCATCCGCGCGTTATTGTTGCGCTGTACCATACGAGTTATCGTCAGCGTGGCGGCAGTCACGCGGCACCGACACGCGGAAAATAAGAGAAGAAAGACAAGTAGAAATCCCGGTGCATGGTCCGCCGTTATGCCATCGACGATAGTGGCGTAATCAAAGCCGCGAAAGGAGGGAGCCACAGTAATGGGGGGGGGGGGGGGGAGTACTAACTTTCTATCTTATTGTTGACCCCTAGTCGCTATATTTACCTTCAACTACACTTCGATACTTGCTAAATAATAATTCATAAAGCTTAGTCTAATAATGCACTTTATTATCAAGTGCACTCCAAGCACAACAAGTGCTCCAACCTCCATCTACGCATAGTCTCCTTT